GGAGAAAGGAATTAAGGTGTGTTGTGTACATGTGCCAGTTCCCCACAGGGAATGTAAACATGTACTACACATACATACTAAGATATATGTATGACTTTGCCCTTTCAATTCTCAGGCCTCTGTTGAAAAACGTGTAATGAGCTGTCTTACCACCTAGCAGTGATATTATGAGACTCTAACTATGGATACGTACCCAAAGGGACTAGACAAATATTTCTAACATGTGTCTATTTGCTTACTATTTGCTTGTTTGAAGGTATGAAAATTTCAGAGATGGCATCGCAAATAAAACTCAGGCCTTGGATTGGGTTTGATTTTGGGTTTAACATATTTTATTTTCTATTTTTAAAAATTTGTATTAGTACATGTTTGCAGTACATAATAACTGCGTTTATTATGGGGAGTTGGTACATACATATAGCCCATCTTAACTCTTTTTATATTCCCTTACCTTTCCCTCTCTCTGCCTCTCCCTCCGTCTCTTAGTTCCTTTCTTGTTTGCAAAAGATGCGTTTAACGTATTTGAAATTGATACATACTAATTATATGTATTTATGGGGTAAAGAATGACATCAGTATGTGTACAATGTATAGTAATCAGATCAGGGTAACTGGCATATCTGTCACCTCATTTAATCATTTCTTTGTGTTGGAAACATTCAGAATTCTACTAGTTTTATTGAAAGATTCAATTAATTGCTGTCAACCATAGTAATCCTGTGGTGCATTAGAACACTAGAAGTTGTTCCTTCTACCCAGCTACACCCCTGTGCCTGTTACACAGCCTCTTCCCACCCCACCCCTACACCCTTCTAGTTACAGGTAATCACAGAAGCTCCAGCATTTGCCTGAAGGAAGAAAACCCAGAGCTGTGTCATTTGGGAAGGCAGCTCAGAGAGTTCTTCAGAATCTCCTTCTTCAACCTATACAATCCATGCACATTTTACATTTAATTTTATATTTCCTATGTTTCTTTTTAAAATAAAATATTTGCGCAAAATTTTGAATTTTGCACTCGTGGAAGGCATCCTCTGGGTGCAGCTGACCACCTCTGGGAATGAGAGAGGGCCTGTCTGAAAAGTCCTAAGAGGCTGAAAGGTGGAGAAAGTAGAGCAATATGCATATATGTCTGTGTGATTGGACACCACTGGTATTCTTGGAAAGTCTCACCTATCATGCAATGATACTGTGTAAAGGGAAGGTAGACTTTGAAGAATGTAGCAAAGAGCAAAGGCTGAGGGAGCTAAGTCTTCATACTGCTGACACAGAAGTCCCGCACAAGGGTGAGAACAGTGATCTACTGTTTTGCTGAATGGCATTCTTGGGAGTGCGCAACTGGGAGTGTGCGACAGTGGTGTGAACTCATACTTAAAGCTTCCCCCCAAAAGAACAGGAGAATGGGAATGGAAGACATAAATCTAGCTGACTTAACCTCAAAGCCCTTAATGTAACTCCAAGACCCTTGCCAATATCTTACAGAACCTTCTGCACGCTACCTACAGATTCAGTTTGGAATCTGTCACACCGTTTGCCAAGCAGGTTTTGTTGTTGAAACATTTGTGTGCAAAATGTCCACAGAAAAACTACCAGAGCTGCATCTGAGCAGGAGCAGCAACTTACCCACTGCCAAGTGCTTAGAGTAACTAAGACATCATTGGAGAAGCCACAAGGCAAAGGAACTGCATCAGCCCCGGGAAGACAAGGGATCTCTGTGATATACCTGGCTTCAGGTGGTTCCAAGGTGAAACTACTGTGGCTGAGTCTTTGTGTCTTTTTCCCAGTCACCAAACCACAGAGAATCTGTCTGCAAGGAACAGCTCCCTCAACCTCAGATGTGCCTTTGCCACTCATCTCAAGTAGGAAGTCAGGATGTCAAACCTTCCCAAGACTGGACAGTCATTCTTCCTCCTGGAAGATGTTCACCACAGTTCTCTGGCCTTCCTTTTCCTACCATCAGTCTAGGGCTTAGATGGTTTGGTAAAAAGACCAGTCAAAAGAAAGAATTTAGGTGGAATTTTATGGAGTTTTAAATGATATATGTCTCCCCTCCAAGTTCAGCAGTTTCTGAAAAATAGACTGTTTTTTCTACTTATAGTCCTGTTTTTTTAAAAAAAAATTGAGTTAATTTTAATTGACATATAAAAACATAAAACTGTACCTGTTGATGGAGTACCATGTGATGTTCCATTATGTGTTTACGTTATGTAATGTTTAAATCAGGGTAGATATACCTGTATCCTCAAACATTTATCATTATGATAAAAACATGCAAAAATCATTCCTTCCAGCTTTTTGATATACACTACTTTACCATTATTTATAGTCACCATACCAGGCAACAAACAATTACTCTCATCTAACTGTAATTTAGTACTCATGCAATGGCAAGCAGAAACACTGAAAACAACACCCAGGATTTGGAGGCAGATTTATTTACATTGACAGGCACTGATCAGGATCATTCCCAGAATATCAGGCCCTGATTTCTGATGATCTAGGGCTTCTACTGGATAAGCAAGCAGGAAGTGCAGAGGCCAAATGGCTTGTCCATTGGGGATTGGTTTAGACAATGTGCATCACAGTGACCAAGCATGCATCACAGTGACCAGCCATTTCTAAGAGACAGGAGCAACTGGAACTAGAACAGGAACTATTACCTGGGCAACTAACAAATTGAAGTAGACTGGCTGGGGGACGGGCTGTTCTCTGCTACACTTATAGATCAACCTTCGTACACTCCTTGCTCCTGTCTGTTTTTGATGCAATAATGTTGAAAACCCTTCTTTGTAAATACCCTGACTAGCAGAGGAATAATTACATGTAAAGAAACAAAATATGTATGCTTTGTGGTAGTACATACCAGTAATCCCAGCCCTCAGGAGGCTGAGGCAGGAAGATTACCATGAGTTTGAGGACAACCTGGGCTACATAGTGAGTTCAAGGCCAATCTGAAATGACCCTGTTTTAAAAAGTAAAATAAAATAAAATAAATTAAAAAATAAAATCAAAATAGATACCCTTTTAAAAGGAAAGAACAAAAAAAAAAAAAAAGGAAAGAACAAGTGTATAAGTGTACTATCTTTTATTATCGTTATCTATTTAAGCTCACTTTAGCCCGGGATGAAGTATACAGATCAATTCCACACCTTAAAATATATGTATATAATTATAATCTACATACTCTAGACTTCTCATTCTACAAGGCTCTATTAAAATTATAATCTGCATTGTTCTCTCAAAGAATTTACATTCTAAGAAGAAGATGAGCTAGATGTGGGCCTTCTATAGGTAGAACTAGGAACCAGACTTTACTATCCTCATTGGGCACATACGGCTCTGTAAAGGAATATGGCCAGCCTGCCCAAGTGTCCTACCACCTTTGCCCCGACAGAGTTCTGAAAACAAAAAAAAATCCTCAATCTCAAGGAATTTTGAAGCTCTGATTTTGCCCTTCAGGACTGGCTACTTCCAGAATTAAGAGATTGGTTGGCCTGAGGATGGAGCTGCAGCTATTTGTTGACCACTGTTCTGTGTCAGCCAATGAATGGGAAGTACAAATGCAGGCTCTCTGAGGTCGATGCACTTAAGGTTTCAGCACCACAGTGTCCTGATTTACCAATCCCAGCCATGCCTTACTCTGTGTCCACATCAAATGAGACTCTAGGAGACAGAGATCTTTCAGAGGGTTTGACAAGCTCTTACCCTACTTGATGGCAAGCTGCAATCCACATTGGTTCCCATTGCTAAACAGCCCAGCATCCCTGAGATGCAGGTCATCCTTGAGCTTATCAAGTTTGCCCAAAATTGCACCCAAGCTCTCAGGCTCACCAGGGACTGGTTTCAGCAGGAGGAAGTGGTCCAAAAATCCCTTCATATTCCCCTGAGCTGAAGTGATGAGCCCTAATAATAACCATTAAACCCAGAAGCTTGGTAGGAATATCCACTCACAGTACTTAGATCATCCAGAATACTGACAGAAGAAAGAAGGAAGGCTAGGGATATAGCTCAGTAGCATAAGTGCTTGCCTGGCATGCCTGAGGTCATGAGTTTGATTCCCGGTACCAAAAAAAAGAGAAGAAAGAAGGAACAAACCCACAAACACTACAAAAAAGTGGGGGGGGGGGGGTTTTACAACATGTGGCTATTGAGTTTTCCACTTTCCTCCTCTTCAGTGTAGATTATCTTCTAAGAAGTAGACACTTCGTGGTTGTGTTTGATAGTCAGATCTTAAAATTTATTTTCTGCAAACATACATTGCATTCAAAGATAACTAAAAGGACTTATTCTTGGAATAAATACTCAAAGTAACTTCTGAATACAATCTTCCTAAAAGAGAATGGAAGCAAAGATTCCAGCTGTTCTGATTCACCAATTAACACATATTGAGCAATGATCGGCAATCTGGTCTGCAAATACCTGCTACACTGCAGATAGCTTTCATAACAATTATGTTCTGAAATTTCCCAAGAAGACAATTTATTAAATAAGAGAAACTTCTAAGTAGCTTCTTCATGCTATTGTTTATGCTCTTCCCTAAAGGACTGAGTTTCCTAGAAATCCCTAAATAATAATAGTAAGTGGAGAGGCAGTGGTTTAAACACTGCACTTTGCTAAATGGAAATACATTATAATTAAGATAGTAAACATCTATTGACCTATCATTCTACTGCTTTAGGCACTGCCTTAATAAATACTTTTTGCAAATTTGAATCTGAAAAGACATTGTTTGCATAAGTGGTTACAAAAGGCCCATAATATTAGGGTAATTATGTTTCTCTGAAAAGTTCCCCTCACTCCCACTAGCCCATCCTCTTTTCCTGGGAAAGATGCTAGATTACTAGGAGCTTGTTTTAATCAATAGTTGTCCAATGAAATCACAACACTGCTCTCTTCCTTGCCTATGGCTAGAGAAATAACTGTGATTAACGTGTTTGTGTTAGAGTGAGAGTATACATTTCAGTGCTGGTTTCACTTGTCTCCCATTTTCCTTCTTCTTGCAGATTTTTAAAAGCATTGGCTCTGATGAGACCGTCCAAGGGCAAGGAAGTCGGAGACTGATCAGCTTTTCTCTCTCAGGTATGTTGCTCACTTACGGATCTTGTGGAGAGAATAAGAATGTCAACCAAAAATAATAAACCTGTTTCAATTCAAGCCCCAAGTTATTCAGCTTCTCTGTGCCTCAGTTTCTCCCATCTATACAGCAAAAATAAAAACTATCAGCTCTGCTAAGCACAGTGGTGTACATCTGTAATTTCAGCACTCCGGGAGGCTGAAGCATGAGGATTACAAATTCAAGCCTAGCCTCAGCAAGTTATTGAGGCCCTGTCTCAAAATCAAAATGGAAAAAAAAATCTAAAAGGACTGGGTTAGGGCCCAGGGATATAGCTCAGTAGCACAGCACCTGCCTGGTATTCTCAAGGTCTGAGTTTAATTCTCAGTACAAAAATAAATAAATAAATACTAAAAAAGGACTGGGGTTGTAGCTCAGTGCAAAGGCCCTGGATTTAATCTCCAGTACTACAAAAAAAAATTTTTTAAACCTGTTTAGTTCCCCTTGATCTGAGAGGGAATTCAAGTAAACAATCAACATTAAAGTACTTTGACATGATAGGAAGGAAGCTATTCTGCTTTTCCTAAAGACCAAGCAATAGAAAGTGAGAGTTTATACAGGGCAAGATGGGGAGACCCCAGGGAAAGAAGCAGCTACTCAACCCATGTCTAAACAAAACTTCTGGGAGGGTCCAACTGGTAAAACCAATGAATGTTTGACTACTCAAAAAACAAAAAACATGACATTCATGGAAAAAAAAATCAATAGACTCCAAATAAAATCTGTTGATCTAATTAATAGTAGTTTAGTTAATACCTAAAGAACATTAATTTTTAGTTTTGGTGAATAGACAATGATTCTATAATATATTAACAAAGAAGAAAACAAGGTAGAGGCTGTGAGAAAATCCTTGTACCACCTTTGGAACTTTTCTGTATATCTAAAATTCTTTCAAAATTTTAATTTTAAAGGAAGCTTTGAGCTGCTTTAGCTAAAATGATACATGAAGCTCAGGGCTTTGCACACTCCATTCTGCCTAAGTCATCTTCAGGATGAGCTGAGAGCATGAAGCCCAGGTCTCCACTGAACACCGTTTGATACTACAGCCCTAGCTTGTCAAGCCAACCAGTGTGCCCAGCCATGAATGTGAAAAACAGGGGTGATAGGAATGAAATACTGGGCATCTCCGGGGGGTGGACAGACAGCCAATTGGACTTTTCAAGCTGAAGTGAGCCCAGTACAGCACATGTGTACCTAAAGATGTGTAGGCAACATAAGCATGTATCTATCTAGGTTCCATGGACAGACATAGGCAGGGAAGAAGAAAAAGTTCAATAATTTTATATTACTAGTGATATAGGGGAAAGAAACTCCCAACCCACTAGATGTCCAGTATGAGTTCATGTTCTCTAAAATCAAAGAATGAATTTTAGGAATGATGAGAGTTAAGAGCAGAATATATTTATTGGGGAGAAGAAAGCTTCTGTCTGAGAGAAAGAGACAGAAAGGGTCCTGAACGGGTTGCCAAGGAACCTGACTTTTCTAGGCATTTTTATAGAGCAAATCCATGACATGAAGCAGGTCCAAGGTGGGAAAGTCTGGAAACTGGAAGGTGGGCATGAGTTGGGACAAAACTATGGTCAAACAATAAGATTACAAGTATTATTGCTCAGGGAAAACTGATTAAAATTGGATCAAATAGGGAAGCAAGTCACATAGCAAGGGGGCATGAATACAGAACCAGGGGCCTTTCCTGCAGGGAGTTGAGTTAGTGACTCTTTCTAGGTTTCTTAAGGTGATAGAGACCTGTTTAGAATATCAGTCCCTGATTTTTATCCTCAGGGAAGTATGTGGGTGCATTTGTTATATTTTGTCTTGAGGTCTGGCCCACAGTGGAGGAGGTGCCTGTCTCTCCCACATTTGCAAGGTCTGTCATCTTCTGCACTGGCTCCTCCAAGGGTCTAGCACTGTTTGACTGCCTATAATATTTCTATCTAACTTAGCTGCCTACAACATTCCCCCCTCTGAAGAAGTACCCAAAACTGCTGTTTAAGGAATAATAAATGATGACTGATCTGGCTTCTTCAGGCCAAAAGTGGTCATAGTTGTTGATCTGCAGTCAGAGATACTCTCCAGAGGATCTATCTGAAGGCCCTTGATAGATACCAGGCATTTTCACCTTGGGGAGGTGTATAGCTTTTAAATCTGGAGGAAACAAAACCAAAGAAACAATTAAGTATGCATAGGCCAAATAATAGTATAAACAGGATAACTGTGAATACAGTCAACAAAGATTTCCACAAGAAGAGCCAGTAATGGCTTCCCATAAAGAGGATAAGGATAAGGTCTAGGGAATTTGAGTGTGACATTTCATTGATGAGTCATCTACTATCTTGAACAGATATGGAAATATTAGAAGGATCAGGAATATACACACAACAGTTAGTTTGTACAATTTCTCGAGTATACCCCTGTGTTGCTGTTAGAATGTCTAATGCCATCTGATTTTGAGGATAGCTTGTCTCATTAATTTTACTTCTTCATTTAGGAGTGAGAAACCAACTGCGATGTCATTTAAGGCTCACTGTGTATAGTTAGTTAAGGCCTTAATATGTGTCACGTAACCCTCTCTCTAGACAAGATCTGGTAGACCCCTGGTAAAAGGAATTTAAAAGGAATCTGGTATATTCGTTACTGGTTTTATCTGTATGATTACTTGGGGTTTGGCATCCTCTAGGCAAGACAAAATTTTCCAAAAAATTAGAGCATGTATAATCAAAGCTTGTGCATTAGAGCTGACAGGTAACTTTAGAAACTGTTTTCAAGGGATAGTTGTAACACACTGGCTCTTAGACCCCTTTATTGATGGAGTCTTATATTTTGTCATAAGTCCCTCTAGCTTTAGTTATAATTATCTCTAAATTTTTGATGACTTATGAAAACCAGAGTAACACATTTTTTGATCAATGAAAAACTAAGTTTTTGTACATGAACAACAATATGTATTATATTTGTAAAAACAGTTATCCTAGTTACAGTTTAAGTGAGATATTTTTCCTAGTGACTGCTTTTATTGAGATATGATGACTGGAATGAAGGCCAGTGTTGGAGAAGAACAAAGAGACCTGTGCCAATGTCTAGCAGTAGGTTGATTTCTTTTCCCTGTATAGTCATGATTCCTCAGGGGCCTTCCCTACAGATGACAGGTACAGATGACAGTCCAGCCAGAGAGAGGAGGCACAATGCCCTGGGGCTCTTAAGTCTTGTTAGACCAACTGGTAGGATGGATCTAAACTCTGGGGCCTTCACCTCAGAGGGCAGTCTGACCTCCAGTGGCCACCTTTGCAATAGGGCATGGTTTGAGGCGCCTCTTAAGGCAGTCTCTTGTAAGGTGGCCCAGCTTTCTACAGTAGTAACAGCTGAGCCTAGTCCTTGAGCTTTTCTTGGAGCCCCAAGAATCAGACTTAGAGTCTGTTCTTTTTGAGGTGACAACAAAGGCAGCTACTTTTTGATCTGTCCTAGGGCCTAGCCCTATCTGACTGCCTATGATATTTCTATCTGACTTAGCTGCCTACAACACTAGGGTAAAAGCTACAAATCTGTGATTTTCCATTTGTATATTTGTACTGAAATGCTTAAGAGATAACAGTCATTTGTACTCTTGGGGAAAACAGGATACCAGACTTTTTCAGAGGGTGTAAAGAACCAAAAGTGCACTCCAGTAAGATGGAGAAAGGTTTTATTTGGCCAGCCTGGTTCAGAGAGGCTCACGCCTCATAATTTCTGAGCCCCGAAGATAATGTCACAAAGGTCTTTATTAAATTTGTGGCAGGAAAACAAACCCCCTCCAAAAAAGGCAGTTATTCAAAAATGACAGATCTTGATAACCCTAACCATTAGGCCTATCTCACTAGAGAATCTAACCTAAAATGAGGGAGGGTAGGCTCACTAACATATCAAAGTGTGGCTCAGGCTGAAAGAAAACTTTGAAAAATTCCCTATTAACATATCAAAGTGTGGCCCAGGCTGGAGGAGGGAGTGCACTCCGCAGAGACAGAAGATCCACCAATTTTTTCTTCAGTACCGGTCTTCAAAAGCAATAAGAACTAGTAATACTACATGACCACGGGCCAGAAACCAAGAAGAATTGTCACTAACCAAGCACCAATGATGTCCTGAAACCCAAGAGTGATATCACATAGCAGGGCAACAGGACAGAGCTAGGGAAGGGACCCAGTCTCTGTTTCTTGCTCTCAATTTTGCCTCTTCCATGGAGTCCTGGGATCATAGACCTACCAAAGGAAAGGAAAGTTCCTCCACCTCAAATGGCTCATAAAGTTACTTGGTAAAGTGATAGGCATTGGCTCATCTCCTGGAATCCTCCACTTATTCCAAGACAATTGCTGGCAATGAATTAGGGCTGGGACATGAAGTCAGTGACAGGAAGAAGTCTGAAATGCTCATAGATACACAATATTCAGCAGCTACATATATCAGTGTGTGTCTAGTTTATTATGCCTGTCTAGGAAAAAAAGTATATGTACTGCTGAAAGTATCAAAATAAATTCCATGCCTCCAAGAAAGACAAGATCAAAAGATTAGCTAATCCATAACTAAGCAAATCCCATCAAGCATCATAAAGTTTACAAGACTGTGGTCAGCTCTAAGTATAAAAGCAGGAATAAGGATTCCAAACAGCTGGACAGCAAAACTAAAGATGGACAAGCATCAAGGCTGAAAGACCCTTTCATGCATGAATAATAGAAAATTGGACTTGAAGATTATGTGGAGAAAGAATGTGTAAATTGAGGAATATACACATAAGATAAAAAAAGTTTTCTTGTTGGCAAGTATGCACTAAAAAGAAACCAAGTGTTTATCACTCACCAGCTTGTACCATCAATAAAATAAAAAGAAGTGGGGAGCATATTAAATAAGAGATCAAAATGAGAAAGATGGTAAGAGAGTTCTTCAAAGCTGGAAGAAATAAAAACTTAGAAAGCCAAGTGTGTTTGTTTCCTACTGCGACTATAACAAATGACCACAGCAGTGGTTTAAACCAACACCATTGTATTCTCCTTGTCTGAAGGTCAGAATTCCAGAATGAATCTTGATAACTGCTTCTATGGGCTCCATGCAAATACATCCCTTGCCTCTTTCAGCTTTTAGAAGCTGCCAGCATTCTTTAGCTCATGACTGCACCGCTCTATCTGCCATCATCTATCTGTCCTTCTCTTTGCTTTGATTTCCTGCTCCCTTCTTCAAAGGGCCCTCCTGATTACATTGAACCCACCTGGATAGTTCAAGCTAATCTCCCCATTCCAAGACCCTTAATCACATCTGAAAATTCCTTTTACCAGGAAAGGTAACATAGTCACAAGCCCCAGGCATTAGGGCATGAACATCTTTGTGGAGTCTTTTTTCTGTCCACCACAGTCAAGGAAAGGTTTACAATGAATTCAAAAAAGTGCAAACACAGAATTAAAATTGAGCTCTTAGAAGCAGGATGAAGCACAATCTACTCAAATTTGGAATCAGTGATATGGCCAACTAATTTAAAAGTCACTCCTAGCATGCATAAGTGAAGGCAATACATGAGAAGCTTAGGAAGAGGAAAAGAGGGATGACACAGATAGAGTCAACATAGAATCATGGTTTTTGATAAAGAAATCAAGATAAATGGGACAGAAACAATAATAGAAGACAGTTTTTCCTGAGCCAAAGATAATGATGAGTCCTTACATCAGGAGATCATCAGGTGCTAAAAAGAAAAAAATAAATGTATATAAAGAGACCAGTGCTCAACAAATCTCAATTTTTAAAAAACATTCTCAGATACAGCCAGAGTAGACATCTAGGCTGAAGGATGTGCTTAATTCCCCCAGCACAAGCTGTGACACCGTGTGTGAAATGCTATCTTCCAGAAAAGCTTATCAGAGTCTCCATGCCTATGATTGCTACTAGGAAGGATATACAGGTTATGTGGGTGGGTACCATATGTGAGGTATAACAAATTCCAGAGTCCCAGGAGAAAAACAGCATCCATGATAAACCATAATAAAGTTTACAGGAACAGCCACTCTTATCAGTTCTAGGGAGGTGGGAACCTCTTGAAATCCACATTCCCAGACCCTAGCTGAAAGCCCACCATATAAACAAGCAAGCAGTCTCAGGCTGCTATTGTTAACTTCCTTCCACAAGCCTCCTAAGAGTATGGCCTGAGTTTTATACATTGCTGTGGTGCTTGATCCTTCTGCTTTTTCCCCTCTTGTGGCAGTATATCATAATGTAAGATAGTAAGAATAATTTCATTATGGGGATACTATTGGGTCAACTCAAAATAACTTTTAAGTAAATGCACATGTAAACATTGATTTCCCCCCCCCCATTGGTGAAAAATTATTTGAATGTCTTACAATTTACACCATGGTTGAGAATCACTGACTCAGTGTATCTTCCTTCACCTTAGTTTATTTTACTTGTATATAAAAGTGAATAATTCTGTTTAGAAGATACTTCGAAAATAGGAAAGTTTTAATAATTATATCCTTGACAATATCATAAACATATTTTTAATAAATACAGTGTTTTAAATGATCATAGAAGAACTAACAATCATTATCACTTGTTGAATATCTGTGTGTGTGTGTGTGTGTGTGTGTGTGTTTCTCTCTCTCCCTCATGAAGTTGTATAAGACCAAACATCTCCAATTAAATGAAACAGTTCAAACATTGATGTCCTGCACTTCCTGACAGCATGGATTCTCAAAGCTGTCCTCACTGATAGGGACCAAGCTCTGTGAAGGACTTTTTTTCTTTCCATCACTTCCACGCTCTTTGCTCTTTTAACCCTCTCCTTTCTCTTTATTTCTCCCTAGTCAGTGAAGTACATATTTATTGTGAAGCTCCAGCCCTTTTTTGCTTATGTCTCTACTTTATAGAGGAGATTTATACCTCAGATCTATCCAATTTCCTAAGTTGGGTTTCCTTCTTCTGTGCCCACCACCTTCCTCATGACTCTGAGCTCCTCACCCCAACTACTTTGTGCTCTTCCTGAGAAGCAGCAGAAATCCAGCCCAGTAAGGGCCAATAGTCCTCTCAATGGTCCAAAATGTAATGACCACAGTACCAGTTAGACTGATTTATTACAAAAATTTCTCACCAAAATACAATGTACTATGTGCCAGTAAGTGTTCCATATTGCACACATACTGGTATATTTTCAATGAAGCTGAAACTTATACAAGGCCTAATGTGATGTTTAGCCTTCTAAAACATACTTAAATAAAAATATCCTTTACTCATAGATTTCCAGGCCATGGGGTTGAAGAAAGGGATGTTTTTCAACCCAGACCCATATCTGAAGATTTCCATCCAGCCCGGGAAGCACAGCATCTTCCCAGCCCTTCCTCACCATGGGCAGGAGAGGAGATCCAAGATCATAGGCAACACCGTGAACCCCATCTGGCAGGCTGAGGTGAGTGCTGGGGCCCTGGAAAGAAGCCCGAGGGACAACACGAAAGAACCAACACTTACCCATCCTTGTGTCTCTGTCATGGAGCCCCAGGCTCTAAGGCTGTTGCTCTTTAGAGCTGTGTTCTTGCGAGGTTGCTGCTTTGCAGTTCTGAGGGATCAGGACTCACTTCTTGTGGACAACACTAGGAAACTCCCTTGCAGCTACTTTGAGGAGACACTTTGCTCTGCAGGCAGGATGAGAAGCATTGTGATCTGAGCATTCCAGTTCCTCCACAGTTCTTCCCATGCTCATGGTCCTCAAGCAAGAGTACCAAATTATAAATATGGCTCTGTGTCCCAGGTCTAGAGATTCTAGAAGCATCAGCTTCCTGGAGCTGGTAAGCCAATAAACCCTAGAGTAATCCTTATTGGGTTGCACATTGCTTGGTTTCCATAGACAAGAAGGCTGGCCATTTATCTTATCTTTTTACAGGGCCCAGCAGCTTGTTAGTCTTCCGTAGGTTGTTTGGATTAGTGAAAGCCCTTCTCCACTCCTGAATGTGTCTCCTCTGCCTGCTGAGTTAGGAAGTGTTCTTCAACAAGGCACCACATCAGGCTCAACCTCAGTGCTCTTCTAGAGAACATGCAGAAAGTTGTCACAACCCATGTGGCTGCTCCTCCCATGGGCTTAATTTGAAGACACAACCTGCTGGAGGGGCCGGGAGGCTGAGGGCATGAGAGCAGATACAAGGTTTAAAAATACAAGATTGTAGTCACACAACTCTGGATTCAAATTCCAACTAACCAGAAAATAGGTTTTGCAAATTAAAGAGGTGTGTTATCCTGGATTAGAGCTTCAGATTATCTTTATCTGCCAAATCTGGTTGGAGATGTGCTCCCACTCAACACACTGGGTTTAGACAGTACTCCTTTTATGATTCAGAAAAGACCATCTCTGGGCTATTTGGGAGCAGAGCCACTTCATTTTTTCTTGATTACACCACCTCCTTCTTAAGCTTAATTACCCCCCTCATGGGCTTCACAGAAGAGTTCTAGGAGAGCTTTGAGGTGGACAGAGGAGAATTAATTCATTAAAACTTCCTACCAGCTATGATCATTAACAGTTTACAAGCATGAATAATATTGCGAGCATGAAATAATGAATTTTTCTAGCATAAAGTAATGAATTTTAAAATCATTTCACCTTCACTACTGGAGAGATAAATACAAGATGCTATAGAAACTTAGAGTATTTGTAAAAATAAACAAAAACTGAGCAACTTATTTTAAAACATTTAGTCATAAAGGTATTATAAGTCTTAGAAAACATGCATGAAATCTACACATTCACAATGTGTTTTGCTAAAAACATTGATTAGAATCCACTTCTAGCATCCTTGGTTATTTCTGCATCCTTGGTTAAGATTGACTTTTGCCTTGACAGAATTCTGACAAACATTTTGTCCTCTCATGTCCTTGTCCATTGCATCCAGAGTGCTATAGTCAAAGTGATGGTTCTGACATCACATTTCTCTCAGATAAGGCTGTGATTGAGAGTAATTGTTTTCTTAAACTAAATACCTAGTGAGTAGCTGAACTAGGATTTGAACCAAGTTTAGTGTGACTACCAAGCTTAATTTTCAGCACCTAAATTGTACTATAGTTCTTAGCAAAAGTCAAAAACATGGAGACTTCCTAGTGGATGTGCAGGTAGACTTGGTCTTGACGGGGGACACTTTCAGGGCGATAAGAGGAATATCAGACAGAAGAAACCACATATGCAAAGGTACTGGGACATCTCACAAATGAGATCATGGGACTGGAGCTCGTGAATGCAGGGGCAAGTGATGGCAGCTGGGCTGGGTTTACTGCAACTGTATGTTCACCTGGCTCCCTCATTTTGTATGTGAAAAAGCTCATGTTGGCTCCAGGCCTCACGCTGCACTTTGGGACAGGCAATGATTCCCTGCTCCTACAGCATTCACACAAGTCTTTAAGTTTCTCTGCAAAAAGGTTAAATGGGACCCAAACTGCCCTACTTTCTGTTTACCAACTAACCTACAAAGGACATTCATTGAGAAAACACTAAAGTCACCTATAAAGGAAAAATATTCTTTGCCATGTACTTTAAATGCCTAATTTATTTCAATAGTTAATGTGGCATTAGTCTTATGTGATTTTTTTAAAAAATGGATGTAAGCTCCAGTCTGCAACATATTTTTTGCTGGTTAAAACAAGTTCAATCTTAGAAAAATTAGAGGTCTTATCAGAGTTTTAAAATGAGAAGAAAGATTAGGAGAAATAATAATAATTGTAATGCACATACACAAGCTAAAATAAAGAAGTGGCTTCCGTGTTATTTGATCAATCTCCTCTTCTTCATTATTACTGTAATTAGAAACTATTTTTACCCAGGGAACAGTCCCGTTGATTTTCAGGTCTGTTTACTCTCCTGGATGGATATAATGAGCACTTATAAGATTATAGTTACACAAAGAAGTTAAACAGAAACAGCAGCAACTAAAGAGGCTTGCCTTCTACGTTTGGAGCACCCCTGTAGAGAGTACTTTTAGACCTCAGAATAAAACAAGGAACTCCTAAAAACAGATTCTTAGAAATATCAAGTGGATTAAGCTAATACTAAAGTCTAGGCTGGAGCCATGGTGTTTGTTAATCTCCCCCCTCATTCTCTCACCCTCTGCCTTCCAAAGATAGGTACCTAGAGCTTCAGGCATTCATAAATGTTGGTGCACACCTGTAATTCAAGCACACTGGGAGGCTTAGACCGGAAAATTGTTAAGTTCAAGCCTAGGCTGAGCAATTTAGTCTCAAAATAAAAAAAAAAAATTATAAACGGGGCTAGATACGTAGCTCATTGTGAAGGTCATGATTCAGTCCTCATTACAGAGGGAAATAAAATGATTAGATAGATAAGACCTTGCTCATGGAGTTTATATTTTAATGAGAGAAAACAAAAATAAGACAAAAAAGAATGAACAATATTACTTCACTGGAAAATAAGTCATGTGAAGGAAATGTCACATTTTTTAATGAGATGCATGGTAGAGAAGGGCTTGGTACAGAGCAGTAGTCTCCCAGGCTTCCCTGAGCTGCTCACATGAACTGACAGCCACACATGCAAAGACTGGGTAGAAATGAGCAGCAGCAGTAAGGGCTGAGGGCCATGAGTTTGGAGCCCTTTAGCAAGTAGGAAGGTCATTGTGGCTGGAGAACAGGGAGTGTGAGAAGGGCTGGCTGAGTCGCAGAGACCCAGGGGCCCGCACCTGGTCAGCCATGCACACCAGGTGGGATTTAATTCTAAGTGTGATAAGAAGCAGTAAGTATTTCTAATAGGGAAGCATCATGTTCTGGTCAAAAGTTTATAAAATCCTTTGTACTGCTCTGAGTGAATTGGCTTTTAGCAAACCAAGAAAGGAAGCAGAAGCAGCCAAGCTCAAAGGCAGGAGGATCACTGCAAGTTTAAAGCCAGCCTGAGCTACATAGCGAACCCTTGTCTCAAAAAAACAAACAAACAAAAAAGAACAATGGAAGCAAAAGTTTCTACTTCTGGCTGGAAGGGAGAGCACTGCAGGATACCTTCGCTCAAAAGCAGCTGCTAAAGATGAACAGAAGATCATGACAAAGCATATGTGAAGACCCAGAATACAGCACTCAGAACTCATGGGGTCCAGATCCTAAAAGGAAAGGAATTTCAGGTGAGCCAACTGCTTGCAGCTGCTTCTTGCAAGAGGACTAAAAAGGTAGGCAAAAGTCAACTGGGGATCAAAACGTGGTTAGCTAAAGAAGATACAGAAGCAGAAGTTCTGAATTCTCCCAGGGGACATAACCTAGCAAGACCCCAGGCTCTCAGCAGCACTCCTGGCTAGCTACAGTGAAAGGAAAACCTATAGCAAAACAACTCCAAGACAACCCAGACTACTCAGTTAGGCCCTGATTAAAATTATCTGACTCCAGCCACAATAGTCTCCTGGATGGCTTACTACCTGGATTATCAGAGATAGATTTTAAATACTGTTATACATTTTGTAATCTTTTTTCAGTAGTTGACTCCCATTTATTAAGGCAGAAGAATCCATATTTTGCAAATTAAATGCAAGTGAAATGAGAAATTTATACTATAGACTATGAAAATCTGGGAACTTTTGCAAAGATGTGTCTCTAGTCTGTTTGCAAGTAAGAGGACTACTTCAAACATTTTTATGAGGTTAATGTATTTTCTTTGGTTTTTAAAAAATTAATTAAATTTATTAGTACATTTTACCTATAAATAATCATCACACTCATATAGGGAATTTGCACCTGTATGTGATATATCTTGATTCTTCTTTTTCCCCATTCCCCTACACTCCCTTCAACTTCTCTTCCCCTCCCTATTTATAAAGCTTAATTTCCATTTTTTTCCTTCTTTTCTCCAAAGGAAGGGAAAAGAAAAAATTAACCTTTTTAATCTTGAGAAGATAAACATAAACAACAAAAAGATAACTTTAAAATGCCCAACTCTCTTGAAAAAGAAGCAAAAACCTCCTCTCAAAACTCTATAAGTCAATAAAGAAATCATAATAAAATCTAAAACAATTTTTGAAATAAATAATAGTGGATATATGACATATCTAACTTTGTAGAATGCCACTAAGTTAGAACAGAAAGACTAAAAATCCTGAGTTTCCATAAAAATAAGTTATAAAATTTACAGCAAACCAAGCAGAAAGCAAGTAGAAGGGAGTAGACTGCAGAAGATAAATACAGGGAAATCAGTGCACCATAAAGGAAATTCAAAGTATTGAGAATTAAAGATAAAAATGTTATAATTTAATATATATTAAAAATATAATCAGAGAATATTGTGAACACATTTATGCCAAAAAATTAGATGAAGTACATGAAATGGAAAACTCCCAGAACAACACATCTTATTAAACTGACACAAAAGTAAATGGAAATGCTGAGTAGTCCTGTGTCAAAAAAAAATTGAATATATAATTTAAAACCTTTCCACAAGAA